GAGGAGGAGGAGGAGGAGGAGGAGGGGGGATAAGGAGGAGAAGGAGGAGGAGGAGGAGGAGGAGGAGGAGGAGGATGAGGAGGATGAGGGATACTACGAATAATAGCAATGATACTAATACTAAGAAGAGGAGGAACATAATTCTCATACGAAGAAGAACACGCATACTACTACGACTAAGAATAATAATACTTATAATTCTAAGACGACGGATGCGAATATGCGGAATACTAATATCAATAATAATAATAATAGTACTAACACTAATGCGAAAACGACTACTATCACTACTGACAATAATAAGAACACGAAGCAGACGACGGCGCCGACGCATACTGATACGACGAAGACTAATACGACGACGACGATTACTTACTACTACTATCAATAAGACGACTACTAATACTAATAGTAATAATAATGTAAAGAAGACTAGCAATACTAAGAAGAAACCTAATACGACGACAGATGTTAAGACGAGAAACCATACTACTAAGAATAACCATAATAACACGACGACGAAGAAGACTACGACGACGACTAATAATAATAATAATGCGAAGACTAATCGGACGAATCGTTCGAGGAATAAGACGCGTACTAATAATACACAGAATAACAGGACGAGGAGGAGGAGGAAGAGGAGGAGGAGGAGGAGGAATACGAGGATGAGGAGGAGGAGGCGGAGGAGGAGGAGGCAGAGGCGGAGGATGCTGAGGAGGTTGATGATGATGATGATGATGATGCTGATGATGATGATGATGATGATGATGATGATGATGATGATGATGATGTTGCTGATGCTGATGATGATGATGATGCTGATGATGATGATGATGATGCTGATGATGATGATGATGATGATGATGATGATGATGATGATGATGATGATGATGATGATGATGATGATGATGATGATGATGATGATGATGATGATGATGATGAGGAGGAGGAGGAGGAGGAGGAGGAGGAGGAGGAGGAGGAGGAGAAGAAGGAGAGGAGGAGGAGCACGAGGACGAGGACGAAGAGGAGGGAGGGGGAGGAGGAGGAGGAGGGAGGAGGTGAGGGAGGAGGAACTGCCTCCTCTTGTCTGTGCTGCACGCTTCTCCTCCTCTCCTGCTCCTCCTCCTCCTCGTTCTCCTCTCCTCCTCTCCTCCTCCTTTTGATGGTTGCGCGAACCAAGGGACCGAGCCTGAAGCGTGCGTACCCCCTCCTTCTCCTCCTCATCCTATCCTCCTCCTCCTCGTCGTCCTCATTCTCCTCCCTCTCCTTTTCCTCCTTCTCCTTCTCCCCTCCTCTTCCTGTTCCTCCTCCTCTCCTTCCTTCTCTCACTTCCTCCTCCTCTTTCTCCATCTCCTCCTCCTCCCACTCTCTCCCTCCCTCCTCCCTCCTCCTCCTCCTCCTCCTCTCCTCCTCCTCCCTCTCCTCCTCCTCCTCCTCCTCCTCGCCCTCCTCCTCCCCCCCCAAAGCCGACTCCTCCGCACTGTAGCTCCATGAACTTGGTTTTTCTTGTTGTACACCTGCTCGTTCTGTGTGTGTTTCCTCTTGCCCTGTGCCGCCGAGGCCGTGGAAGGACCTGGTTCTGCCCGACTCGACGCCGGTGGTGAACTGCATCTCCCAGGCTCGTCTCGAGCTCTTGAGCGTTCTTGGAGGGCCAGAGTAGCGGGATGAAAAAGGCCGATATATCAGGATGAGGGGAAGAACGTGTGATGATGGTGGTGATGCCGATGGGGATGATGATGATGATGCTGATGATGATGATGATGATGATGATGATGATGATGATGATGATGATGACGATGATGATGACGATGATGATGATGATGATGATGATGATGATGATGAGGATGAGGATGAGGATGACATTGATGATGGTGGTGGTGATGATGATGATGCTGAGAAAGATGAGGATGACGCTGCTGCTGCTTCTGGAGATGGTGTTGATGCTGCTGCTGCTGACGATAAATGCGATGATGATTACGATGATGATGATGCTGGTGAGGATGACCAGGATGATGGTGATGATGCTGATGATGATGGTGGTGATGATGCTGAATGCTGATGCTGATAATGATGATGCTGGTGGTGATGATGATGGTGATGGTAATAGTGATGGTGATGATGATGATGATGATGATGATGATGATGGTGGTGATGGTGATGTTGATGGTGATGATGCTGGTGGTGATGATGATGATGGTGATGGTGATGGTGATGGTGATGGTGATGATGATGCTGATGCTGATGCTGATGCTGATGCTGATGCTGCTGCTGCTGCTGATGATGATGATGATGATGATGATGATGATGATGATGATGATGATGATGATGATGATGATGATGAGGCCGAGCTATTGTTTTACTGTAGTGTGTATCCTTTTCGTCCGGGGCAGATGCCCTCCCCGAGGAATGCCGGCCTGCCCGTGGTGTTGATTCCAGGATTCGTTTTGGACCAGCTTCTGCGGTCCCGCCGCGTCGGCCGAGCCCCGCCGAGATCTTTCTGGTGGAGGCCATTTCTTGATTGCTTGGGGCATGACGGGCGTCATGGCCCCCGCTCCCCCCCCCCCCCCATGACATAACGCTCCCCCCCCAGTGCGCTCCGGGCACTGCCGCCGTGCGCATTGGGATCCGCGTAGGTGTCCGCGTAGGAATCCGCATAGGTGTCTGGTCCGCAGGCGTCGTCGTCGTCGTCGTCGTCGTCGTCGTCGTCGTCGTCGTCGTCGTTCGTCGTCGTCGCTCGTGGTTCGTCGCTCATCGTTGTCGTTCGCGCGGACGCGGCTGGAGCCTGTTTTTAAGTCCGGGCCGATGACGGCAATCATCTGGGGGTGAGGGGGTCGATGACGTCACGTTTCGCGCCGGCGGCGTTTGGGAATGGTTCGGAATGACGGAGGACGTGTAGCACGAACATGTAGGTGGCGATATGCACCACAACGCCTGCGTACATCACAGTGCCCGCGTGCACCACAACGCCTGTGTACACCACACCGCCGACACCACAGCAGCCGCGTGCAACACAGCGTCAGTTTGTGCCACCGTGCCTGCGGGCACAGCAGCTCCTGTGTACACCACGGCGCCTCCGTACACCACATCCGCCGTGCGCAACACAGCACCAGTGTACACCACAATGCCTGCGTGCATTGCAGTGCCTGTGTACGCCACGGCGCCTGTGTGCACCACATCAGCCGTGTGCAACACAGCAACACACTCATGGACAAAGGAACGCCGCTGGAATCTACGAGTCCCCCCGAGTCCGCCCGCATCTCTTAACTCCCACTTGCGTCCAGGAGGCTCCAGCTAAACTGGCCGTCCGAGAACCAAGTGGACCGATTCAATCGACCATTCTGCGGTGCACGCTGAGATGCGCACGTGCGTTGTAACGCCAAGCCGCACGACAGGGGGTAAGAAGGAGGAAAAGGAGGATGAGGAGGAGGAGGAGGTGGAGGAGGAGGGAGGGAGGGAAAACGTCGCATTCGATTATCAGGACTTTCCTGGCGTGGCGTTTAGTTGTCCGCATCAGATCCTGACGTACATGCTCCTTCTACCTGTCCTATGCACGCAGGCGCTGTGGTGTACAGCGCTGCGTTGCACGCGGATGCTGTGGTGTAGACAGGCGCTGTGGCGTGCACAGGGTCTGCGGTGCACGCAAACACTGTGGTGTACACAGGCGTAGTGTTGCACATGGCTGCTACGGTGTATGTACACCGGCGCTGTAGTGCTCCCAAGTATTGTGGTATACGCGGGCGGTGCGTTGCACACGGCTGTAGCGGTGTACGCAGGCGCTGTGGTGCACACGCGCGGTGTGGTGCACGCGAGCGTTGTGGTTTACACAGGCGCAATGGGCAGATCGCCACTTACATGCTGCTCGAGTCGTCGTCGTCGTCGTCGTCGTCGCTCGTCGCTCGTCGCGTCGTGCGCGCGGGCGCGGCTGTGGTGCCGGAGCCACGCGGCGGGGGGGGGGGCGTCACGTCATACCCCCCCGCCCTCCCCCCCCCCCCCCAATGACGCCCGTCATCGCCGAGCATAAAGAAACGCCTTCGTGGGCGCCCTGGATGGTACTTGGCCGGGTTTAGGACGAGGACAAATCAACTCCAGAGCGTTCCGGATTTTGCCCAAAGCTTCCTGGAACGCTCTGAGAAGGCCGCTGCGTCCGAGACATCTTCCACAGCCGCTGGATCTCAGGCGTCCCTAGATTTCTTCATATTGCTCATGCCATTCCGCCGACCCCCCAGAAGGAGCGAGTGTTTGCAATGATTTTGGAAGTTCTCAGGTGGCTCAGGGGCCTCTTGGATGCATGTTGAGGGGCTCGTGGGATGCCTTTTGGAGGGCGCTTGGGGGGCATCAGGGGAGCCTTCTGGGCCTTCTTTGTAACCTCTTGGGGGCTTCTTGGGGGCCAGGTGCGCACAGGGGAGCTTCCCCTGTGGGCACCTGCCGTCGAATTTCGAGCAACTCCCTCGCGGCCACCCTTGCTCGGCCGCGAGGGAGTTCCTGGAACTTCGCAGCGGGGGAGGTTGAGGCGCGCGCATGCGGGGAAGCTCCCGCCCTGCGGGCGGACGCCAGTTCGAGAAGCGCCGCTGGGCGAGACATTAGTCCTAAGTCGGGCGTGTCCCTCTACAGGAGGAGTATTCAAACATGGGCGAACATAGTCCCTCCAAAACCTGCCCGTATGAGGACATGCCCGACCTAAGACGAGACACCAGTCCCGGGGAGGGCGTCGAGACGCATCGGGACTCCCAGAGACGGGGGTCAGTGCCAAAACGGGGGTCCGCCATACCCAGACATCGGGCGCCTCGAAAACATCGAGACAGACGAGACAGAGGTTTCTCATAGTTTTTGGCCTCTCGGGGCCCTCGCCGGGCCTCGGGACCGTCAGAAGACGACTCGGGAGGAAAAACCGGTTCCGGGGAAGTGGTCGGGACCTCAGGGCCTCCGGTCGTCCGGGCCTCAGGCCCCAGGTCCGCGCCCCAGGTCCAGAGGCCCCAAAGCGGCTCGCCGAGGCTCGCCGGCCGTCTCCGAGCTTTCTGGCCTCTTGGGGCCCTCTGGGAGCGCCGTGGCGGAGCTCTCTTGAGCCGTTTCGTTGGGGTTCTAACAGGGCCCCAACGAATGCTACAACGCACCCCTCTGTTGTAGCATCCGTCGGGGGGCGTCTCGGAGCTCTCTGGGGAGCCTCTGGGGGCCCTCTTGGGCCGTCCTGGAGCCGTCCTGAAGCCCTCCTGTAGCCGTCGGTCGCTGGAACTTTACGGAGCCCGTCTTGGGGCCCTCTTGGGCCGTCCTGGAGGCCTCTTTGGCAAGCCGGTTCGGTTCCACTGGTTCGGGTTGACCGTTCGGGCCAGTTTCGATCGGCCAGTTCGGTTCGAATCAGCCGGTTCAGGTTCAGCCGGTCCGGTTTTGGCTCTGGTTTGGGCGGTTCGGTTTCAGGAGCCGCTGGTTCACGCTTACCAGTTCTGTTCAACTTTTTCTTGCATAGAGTGCCGGATCTAGCAGGATCTTGCGGGGCAAAGGGCGCATGGACCCGGGCTCGGGTGCAGGACCCTGCAGGATTTTGCAGTACAGTCGAGGTTGATTAGTAGGTCGACCCTGTCAATCGCTAGCCACGCCTTCTACATTCCTGTGGCAATCTGGCCCTCGGAAGGGTCTTGTGTCCTCTCGCGTGTCCTCTCCAATCAGCCCCGACTGTATCCTGCAACGCCTGACTGACCCGGGTCTGCACTGACCCGCATCATTGCGTCCCCGAAGTGCCGGGGGTCGACGTCACGAGCAAATTTGAAGCCGGGCGTGTCCCTCTACAGGAGGACTATCCAAACATAGCCAAATAATAGTTTGGGGACGACTTGCTGGACCACTCTGGAGTGTAATTAATCGCTTCGCTCATTCCGCCGGCCCGTATTGTGCCTTCGCAGGCGTTTGCTTGCGCGTTCGTGGCCTCTTGGAGCCTCGGTGGGGCCGTTTGGGGCCTCTTGGCGCCTCTTTTTAGGCCTCTCGGAGAACTCGGGAGGCCTCCAGGGGGCCTCCTGAGCTCTCGTGACGGTCTCTTGGGGGTCTTTCGGCGGGCTCTTGGCGGTATTTGTTGGTCCTCTTGGGGCCTGGGGCCTGACGTTGTTGGTCCTCTTGGGGCCTCACGGGAGCTTATTGGGGCGTCTTGGGGGTGTCTTGGAGAGTCTCTTGGGGCCTCTTTCGGGGTCCTGGGCGCCTTCTGGGGCGGAGGGCTCGATTTTTCAGTTCTCGGTTCCCTTCTTGAGCCCCTCTTGGGCCCGTCTTGGGGCCTCTTGGTCCGCCTTGGGCAGCACTTGGGCCGTCTGGGGGGCGCTCTTGGGCCGCTCCGGGGCCGTCTTGGGAGCCTCGTGGGCCGTCTTGGAGCAGTCTTGAAGGCCTCTTGGGCCCTCTTGGAGCGTCCGGAAGCGAAAAGGCCAGAACGCAAAAAAACATAGAAAAAACCAATGAAAATCAACGATTTTGGCAACTTGGGGCCCTCTTCGGAGGCCTCTTGGAAGGCCCTTGGAGCGTCTTGGAGGCCTCTTGGGCTGTCTTGGGGCCATCTGGGGCGTCTTCGGGCGATCTTTGGCCGTCTCGGGCCTCTCTTGGACCGTCTAGAAAGCTTCTCGGGGCCCTCTTGGACCGATCTGGAGCCCTCTTGGACTCCGAAACAGAACTCCGGCATCTCTGGCCCGACCTTGCCGGGACCTTGCCGGGGACTTGCCGGGGACTTGCCGGGACCTTGCCGGGGTACTTTTCGTCCGGGGACCCCCAGGGGCCGCCCCGCGCGCGCGAACTATAAATACTGTTAACCAGGTACCGGAGATCTTAGCACGCCCTGGCCCGTTGGGCCGGCGAACTTGATTTTTGTCCTGCCGTTCCATGTCTCGTCCAGAGTCCGCCTGCAGGGGGAGACGCCCGGCCTCAAGCAAAAGCCGTGGCGTCGGGGGTCCAGGGAGACAGGGGTCACCACCCACCAAACCACCCCAACCCAACCCGAAGGCTCCGATTTGCCATCCATTTCCAGTGGGGGCGGGGTCGGGAAACCTCGAAAAAACCGCCTATGGAACCCATACCCCCCACCTCCTCTTGCTTCTCTTCCTCTTCCTCCTCGTCCTCCTCCGCATTTCCTGCCTCTCCTCCTCCTCGTCGTCCTCCCCCCAACCCGAAATTCGGGTCTTCGGGTTGGGTTGGGGTGGTCTGGTAGGTATGTCAAGGGGGGGGGCCCCTCCCGGCCAGCCCCCCCCTCCTCCAGAGGCCGCGTCCGCCCCCCCTCTCCTAAGCCCTCGTCCTCCGCCGGCCTCCCTTCGCCTGCCCCCCTCTGCGCCTCTGCCCCCCTCCCCCCTCCTCCCCGCCCTCGCGCCCCTCCCCCCTGCCCCTCGCTCCCCGTCTGCTCCCCCTTCCCCCCTCTGCCCCCCCCCCTCTCTTCCAGAGGCTGCGTCGTCTTCCCCTGCCCCTCCTCCCCGTCTGCTCCCCTTCCCCCTCCTCCCCCCCCCCTCTCTCTTCCAGAGGCGCTGCGTCTTCCCTTCTCCTCTTGCCCCCTCTCTCCCCGTCTGCCCCTCTTCCCCGCTCTCTCTCCAGAGGCTGCGTCGTCCCCTCTCTCTCCCCCCTCTCTCCCCTCTTCGCCTCAAGGCGGGCGCGTCCCTCTGCAGGAGGAACATATTCAGAAATAATCAAAAATAGTCAGGGGACGATTGTTTCAAAACTGTGTTTGAGCCTTGTTTGATTTTTCTGCACTGTTCCGCCACAGTCAGCCTGTAGGGGGACATGCCCGACCTAATCCTCGCCCAACCCTCCCTGCCTCCCCTCCCTGGGGGGCGGAAGGGGGTGCAGGGGAAGGGGGCAGATGGGCGGCGAGCCCCCTCGCTAGCTGCTCTGCGCCTCCGCCCTGCGCTGGCCGTCGCCGTTCCTCTTTGGGAGGTCTTCGCTACCCTCGACGAGTTCAGCCAGCAGCTCGCCAAGGGCTTCGACTCGGCCACCGACGAGCGCTTCTGCCAGAAGACCGTGCAGGAGGCGGTGAAGGAGGGACGCCCTTCCTGCGCGCGCATGGAGGAGGAAGATGGGAGGAAGAAAAGGAGGAAGAAAAGGAGGTGGAGGAGGACGAGGAGGAGGAGGAGGAGGACGAGGAGGAGGAGGAGGAGGAGGAGGGAGCGAGAAGGAGGGAGGAGAGAGAAAGGAGGAGAGAGGAGGGAGGACGTGAGAGAGGGCAGGCCTTCTCAGAAGTTGGCGGGGCTCCTCAGACGCCCTCCCATCTTGGCCTTCGAGAAGCCCTCTGTGGCCCCGGGGAAGGCCCCTCCGTGAAGGCTCGCCTTCTCTGCCTTCCCCCCGGGCGACTCGTTGTTCGGGCCATAACTCGCGTCTCTGGCGACCGTTCGGGACGCTCTGGGCACCCCAGGAACGCCTTCGGCGAGGCGCAGCTGCTGGAAGGCATGCCCAGGCATGAAAACTGTCAGGAACTCAATAAATATCCGTTCGAACCTCCCTGCCCACAGATCCGACATCTCAGTTTGTTTCAAAGAGCGGTGCGTGGAAGTCCCGACGGGCTTCGCGTTCCGAGTCGTTCTCTGACGGCCCCGGGGCCCGGCGAGGGCCCCCAGAGGCCGAAAACGGCGGACGACCCTCGAAAACTTCGAAACCTCGGAACCCCTCGAACACCTCGAAACCCTCGACACCCTCGAGAACCTCGAAACCCTCGAAGCCCTCGAGACGGCAAGGCCAGTCGAGGCCCTCGAAGACCTCGAAAGCCTCTGCCCCCGCCCCCCCCTGGGCGCGCCACCAGGGGCAGCGGGGGTGCTCCCGCGGCCGTCCCCGTGGAGCGCGTGCCGGCCAGGGCCCGGCGGTGGCCCGGCCCCGCAGGACCAGCAGCGCAGGGAGGTGCTGAAGCAGCTGAAGATGACGAACAAGCGCCACAGCACTGCCAGGAAGCAGGAGGGGGAAGAACACACAGACACAATTCATCGTCGACGCCCAGGAAAATATGGGAAAATATGGGAAGATATGGGAAGAGGGGGGGGGAGACAAAAACCAAGAAGATTTGGGAAAATACGGTGAATCCTTTTGATTTGTGTGTCCCAGGGCCCCTTCAAGGAAGCCTGTCCCTCTGGAGGGCGAGGGGGGAGGCAGGGAGAGGGTAGTGCTGACGATGCGCGGTGGTGGTGATGGTGCTGGTGCTGGTGCTGGTGCTGGTGCTGGTGATGATGATGATGCTGATGATGATGATGATGATGATGATGATGATGATGATGATGATGATGATGATGCTGATGATGATGATGATGATGATGATGATGATGATGCTGATGATGATGATGATGATGATGATGATGATGATGATGATGATGATGGTGGTGGTGGTGGTGGTGGTGATGATCATGCTGATGATCATGATGATGATGGTGGTGGTGATGATGATGGTTTTGGTGATGATGGTGATGATGATGCGTGACTATGGTGGTGGTGGTGGTGGCGATGCTGAGGATGCTGATGATGAGGAGGAAGATGCTGATGATGGTCATGATGATGATGGTGATTCTTCGGCTGCAGGTGATGACGATGATAATGACGCTGATGATGGTGATGGTGATTGATTAAATGATTGTTTGATTGATGGCTTGTTTCAATGATCGATTGTTCATGATGGTATGATGTTGATTATGATGATGTTGATGATGATCGCATTTATGCTAAGGATGCTGCTGATGATGATGATGGTGCTGCTGATGATAATGATGGTGATGATGTGGATGCTGATGCGGATGATGAGGAAGCGGATGACGATGATGACGATGATGATGTTGATGATGATGATGTTGCTGATGATGATGATGCTGCTGATGATGATGGTGGGGAGGAAGAGGATGTCGATGAGGATGAAGAGCATAATGTTGCTGCTAGTGATGATGTTTTTTGTTAAGCTGCTGCTGCTGATGCTGATCATGCTGATGATACTGATGTTGCTTATGCTGCTGCGGATGATGCTGGTGGTGCTGATGGTGATGATGATGCCGATGATGAGGCTGGGGGGGGGGGGGGTGAGTGTGGTGGTGTTGATGCTTATCGTGATGGTGGCGACGATGACAGCGCTGATGATGTTGATGAGGATGATTTGATCATGATGACGGTGATGAGGATGGTGGTGTTGGTGATACTTGTTCTTGTGAAGGGGCTGGCGGCGGCGATGATGATGATGATGAGCAGGAGGAAGAGGAGGAGGAGGAGGAGAAGGTGGAGGATGAGGAGGAAGACGACGACGATCATAATGCTAGTGATGTTGAGGATGAAGCTGATTGCGGCGATAGTGGTGATGATAATGAGTGGTGGTCGTGCTGATGACGATGATAAAGTTGATGAATGTGAGGAATATGATGTTGACGATGATGGTGAGGATGAGGATGAGGATGAGGATGACAATGATGATCATGGTTGTGCTGATGCTGGTGGTTGTGATGATGCTGGTTGTGATGATGGTGATGCTGATGGTGTGCCTCGGCAAAAAGGGGGAGATACACGCATTTGATGCTTGTAGAAGGGGTCCTGACAGACAATACTTGGAATTCTACCACGTCTCAGCGTGCCAGGGGGGGCACGGTGGCGGATACGTATGCACGGTGGCCGGCCTAGTTGTTACAGCCGCAGGCCGCCGCATAGGACGTGCAAGAAAATAGCCGCCACATGGTCGAATCACTTGAGGCTCCTTCTGGGAATCCCTTGCCACACAAAAACATATTCACAGGTAGCCTCGCGGCTGCTGGGCACGCCATCCTGCCAGCGTGCAAGCCGACAGCGTTTCTCACCCCCACGCCAGCCTCCTTGTCACCCGAATGCTGGTCTTTGAGGTGCGAGAGTGCGTGTGCGTGTGCGTATGTATGCATACATCCACGGATACACAGGCGGACATATACATATATATATATATATATATACAGAGAGAGAGGGAGCGAGAGACACACACACGGCCACAGTCACGAAGCAACATGTTGATACAGGCGGACCGTCATGCGCGTTCTATTTGCGTTTGTGACCGGTTGCCGCATGCTCCAGTATGACGCTCAACGATGGTTTCATCATCAAGCACTACGCTGGACCTGTTGAGTACTCGACCAAGGATGGAAGGGGCTGTGCAGCATAATGTGGGAAGTGAGGTGTGGAAGATGCGGCGGCTCAGAGCAATTCGGTGACGGATGAGATCCAGATGACGAGCGCTCGGGGTGGTTCGATGGGGCCAGCAGGAGGTGTTTGAATCATCTGTTCGGCATGTCATCGGCGACGGCGCGAAACAGTCATAGTGCGTGCCGTCCCAATGCGGTTTCATACATGTTTTGTCGTTTTTTTATGTATTGTTTTGCCAATCTGTGCGGGCCCTCGCATCCCCCCCCTCCCCCCCCTACGGAGTAGATACTGGCCGTTTCTGGCGCCGGTTTCGAGCAGGTGGAGGCTCTCCCAGAGGACGCACGGTCCCAAACAGTATTAGAAAACGCTCACTAGGTGGTGCTGGCAAGATCATGGGGCCTAGGGCTCGGAGGGTTTGGCGTGCGCAGGCGCGTGCCAGAGCCGGCGCCAGAGGCGGCTCATTGCGGATCCGGCTCGCCCCTGCCTCGCTGTGCCAGCGCGTCCGCGATGGCTGGCACCAGTGAGTCTGGCAGCTTCTCGGGAGCAGCAGCCCACATGGGGATACCGACTGGTACCAAGGAGTTGCCGTGAAGCAGCTACCATTAATTCGGGCACGCCCCTCTACAGGAGGAAAATTCAAAAATAGCCAAAAATAATCAGGGGGCGATTTGTTTGAGCATTTCTGTGCTATTTTTGAATATGGTTTGAGTATTTTTTATTTTTCGTCCCAAATCCGCCTGTAGGGGGACATACCCGATTTAAAGTTACCATTTCGCATCCTGCACTCGCTTTTTCTGTGGCGGGCTGAAACCCAAGCTGTGTCAGCCGCTTTCCTATTGAGTGGTCCTGTTTACTTGTTCCAAGCTGCCTGTGAGGATTCATTGATTAGTGAGCAACCTGGGAGGAGTGGTGGGATAACTATGTCGGGGGGTATTTTTTGCGGTCGATAGCGCACGATGCTGGCGGATTGGGGCGACGTTGGCGATAGAAGGCACGGTCGTTGCCCGAACACGCATTTTCGAATTTCAGCAGATCCAGCTCATGAAAGAGGGAGGGAATTTAAGAAACAACAAGAGGAGGATGAGGAGAAGACGGACGGGTGAGTTATTGGAAGTATGCGGGAGTTGATTGGAGGGGGATAATGAGGGGGGGGGGGCGGGGAACTGAGAGAGAGAGAACGAGATAGACAGAGATATACCAGGGAGGAGTGAGGGGGAGGAGGAGGACGGAGCTATGAGAGAGTACAGAGCAGCATGAGGTGGGGGAGGAGGGAGGAGGAGGAGGAGTGGGGCAGGAGGATGGCGGAGGCTGGTGGGAAGTCCGCTCGCGCGGAAGCAGCAGCTCCTGGGCCTGCGGGAGGAGCACGAGCCCCCGCGAGTGCACAGCCTGAGCATTGCCCCTGGGGCCGCGGGCCGCGGGAGGAGCACGCCCTCCTCTTCCTCCTCCTCCTCCTCCTCCTCCTCCTCCTCTCCTCCTCCTCCTCCTCCTCTCCTCCTCCTCCTCCTCCTCCTCCTCCTCCTTCTCCTTCTCCTCCCCCCTCCTCCTCCTCCTCCTCTCCTCCTCTCCTCCTCCTCCTCCTCCTCCTCCTCCTCCTCCTCCTCCTCAGAGAGACAACCAGCCATGAAGGTGCCCAGGGGGCGCGGGAGGAGCACGCGCCTCCGCGCCCCTGCGGGCATTCCCAGGCGTGCCGCAGGAGGAGCACGGGTCGGCGACTAACAAAGGGTGCGGTTGCGCTGGGGTGTGGTCTGCGATCGGCGCCGTTGGGGCCTGGGGGGCACGACGCTGTCCTCGTCGGGCCTCCTCGAGGCGCGGGAGAACTCCATCGAGGTCCCCGCGCGCCCCCCCAGGGTGCCCCCCACGATGTTCTCTAGGGTGCGGGTTGCGAACCACACACACCCTTGGCAAGCCACACCTTTGGGAGTCGCCGGACGAGCCTCCGCGACACTCGAACCTGTGGCCGTCTCCTCGAGCGGCGTCCCGGGCCCCACGGAGGACCCCGCCACGTGTGGCAGCCCGGCCGAAGGGCACGTACTGCGGCGGGACCACGCCCGCGTCGATGGCCGCCTCAGCTGCAGCAACGTACAGTGAACGTGCGTAGCTTTGGCCTCCGCCAGCTTGGCCTCCAGATCCACGACGGCGCTCACGGCCTCGTTTATCCTCTGCTCGGCCGTGCCGACGGTCAGTGCCCCAGCAGCGATGCCGTTCTTCTTTACGGCATTCACGCCCGAGTCGTCGAGGCTCTCCTTCATTCCGATGCTGCCCTCCGCAGCGCCGCCATCACGCTGCTCAGCCACAAACGCGCTGCCCGTCTCGTCGCGAATGGTGGGGCCGCCAGCGACCTTGCCCTCCAGGGAGGACTCCAGGTCGCCGAAGAGATCCACGTCCAGCTTCGCGTCAGAGTTCCTCAGCCTGCTGGGGCGCCCAAGCCGCGATGCGAGCGCCCCGCCGCCACGCTGGCGGAGGGCGCGCTTCGCCGCCGTGTGCGAGGGCTTGGCGTCGAGGTTCAACGCCCGATTCACGACGCCGAGAGCACGGTCCAGGAGCATGATGTGGGTGACCCCGTCAGCCGCGGAACGCCGGCGTCTTGTCGAGGACCCCCCAGCTGCAGACGGGCGGCGGCAGCCGCCGCGGAGCACAGGATCTCGCCCTCGAGGCCAGACTGCAGGACGGCCGAGGCCGCGCCTAGGGCCGCCGCCGCTGCCGCGGGGCACGCCGCCCGCGAGCACAGCCGCCATTTTGCGGACCGGGCTGGGTCCGAGAGCCTCCACGCAGGGAGGCAGGCCGCCGCCGACTCTCCTGCCCAGGGGCCTGAGAGCCAACATGGCTGCGGAAGGGAGGGGGAGGAGGAGGAAGCGGAAGAGGATGAGCAGGAGGAGGAGGAGGAGGAGGAGGAGGAGGAGGAGGAGGAGGAGGAGGAGGAGGAGGGGGAGGGGGAGGAGGAGGAGGAGGAGGAGGAGGAGGAGGAGGAGGGAGGAGGAGGAGGAGGAGGTGGAGGAGGAGGAGGAGGAGGAGGAGGAGGAGGAGGAGGAGGAGGAGGAGGAGGAGCAGGAGCAGGAGGAGGAGGAGGAGGAGAGGAGGAGGAGGAGGAGGAGGGAGGAGGAGGAGGAGGAGGAGGAGGAGGGAGGAGGAGGAGGAGGAGGAGGAGAGGAGGAGGAGGAGGAGGAGGAGGAGGAGAGGGAGGAGGAGGAGGAGGAGGAGGAGGAGGAGGAGGAGGAGGAGGAGGAGGAGGAGGAGGAGGAGGACGAGGAGGAGAAGGAGGAGGAGGAGGCAGAGCGAGAGAGGGGGCGGGAGGAGCGACATCCGCGCCATGGCAGGGGGATGTTGCGGCCGCTCGCAGGGGAGGCGGGACGGGGGGAAAGCGGCTTTGCGCCAGGCTCTCCCAGAGGGATCCCCAGGAAGGAGAGGAGGGTGGAGGCGCCCAGGCGCCGGAACTGTCCAGGGGGGGCCGCGCTCGGGGAGAGGCCATCTCGTCCTCCTCGCCCCTCCGACCGCGCCCTCGTGCTCCGAGCGGCCCCCTCGCCCTCGCCCTGCGGGGGGACGAGGGCCGGCAGCGGAGCCTGCCCACCTCGAGCTAGGGCTCGCTGCCGGCGTCGCCGCGGGCGCTGCTCGTCGCAGGCAGGCCTGCGGAGGAGGCAGCTCGCTCCGGCCAGAGCGTGCGGGTTCCGCGTTGCTCGCCAAGTGCTTGTTCGCAAACGTCAGAAACACACATGTCTGCTTCGATGTGATGTGTCGTAGATCCACCCGCGGCGGATCCAGGCCACTTGTGAGTAGTTATTTTTCCGGACACGCCGGCTTTCAGAGACTCCGAGTTGCTTCCTCGGACGACGCCACCTCGGAACCCTTTTTTGTATCACTCCGTAGCCGCAGGGCTCGTGGCTCCGTCCTCCCCGTGGTGGTCACCTGGTGTTGTGGCACCGCGCGTGACGGCTGCGAGGTTGTGAGAGGCGGGGGACTGGCGGCCTGAGGATTCGGACCGCGCGGAATCAGCCCGCACATCTGGACCAAGTGTGCGAAAGTGAATAAGGGAGGAAGCTAGGGATGATATCTCGGCCCGACTTTGTCCTTGTCTCCGAAGATGAAAAAAACTTTCAGCGCTCCGCGTGGATTTCTTGTGTCCGCGCTGGACCCCCCCAGGCCCTGGCGGCGCCTCCGGCGCCGCCCCTGGCGCTCCGCGCGCCAGGGAGGCGGAATCCAGCGCAGATCCTGGAAATCCACGCGGAGCACCAAAAGTCTTTGTTTAAAGTTTTTTTCTCCCAGGAAGCTGGGGATATCTCCGCCCGACTTTGTCCTCTCCCTGCCGTTGTCTGAGGGAGAGCTGCAGCGTCAGCGGGCGTGTCGGCGGCGCGCAGACGGGGGTAGGGGGAAAGGGGGAAGGCTTCTTAGAAGGCGCGGGCCTTGCCTGTAGATGTAAGGCCCGCGCATTCTAAGAAGCAGGGGTGCTTCTCAGAAGCCTTCCCCCCGCCCCCTTATCCCCCTCTGCGCGCCGCCAAGCGTGGTCGGCAGGGCCGTCGTCGCGCCGCGACAGGGGGTCGGAGCGCCTTCGGCGCGCGGTGGCTGCCCGCGGCGGGGGGCGATTTGGGGCTGTCCGCGGAGGTGACGCCCCCCCCAGCGCTTACGAAGAAGCTCGGAGGAGGGATACATAGGCCCGACTTTGTCCTCGCCCTGCCGTGGTCCGAGGGAGAGCTGCCCCGTCCGCGGGCGTGGTCGGCAGGGGTGGCTCGACAAGAACAACGACCGCCTGCTGAGCGAGTGCGAGGCCCGAGCGGGCGGTCCTCGGCTGCAGAGGTCCAGTCCTGCCCTCCAGCCTGCCCCTGCCTTCCTCCCCTTCCCCTCCTCTCCCTCGCCTCCTTCCCTGATCCCTCCTTTTCCTCGCCTCCTTCCCCTTTTTTAATCTTGCTAGTTCCCCAGTGCTGCTACAGTGGGGGCGCGCATCAAGAAACCATATGCTTTTCGTCAGGGTATCTTAGGTTTCTTTGCTCCTCGCGCTGCGCTGTGACGTCCCGCAGCCGTTGAAGAAGCTGCGTTCAGGGTGCTCCGGGTTCTCCCCGAGGTGCGTCTTGCGCGCGGGTTTTCAGGGTTGGGCTTCTTGCGAGGGTTTCTTGCGGCCATGTTATCGCGTTGTTTCAGAGAGCTGCTCTCTCACTCTCTCTCTGCTCACTGCGCCAGACTGTTACACTCCATGCATACACCTTAGGCGATGCTTAAGAAAACTTAAATGTTAGGCCAGAGTCTCGATTATTCTTAATGTTTCAATGTAGATCCTAAGATTTGAATGGAAATTTTGTGTTTTCATTCAAGTTCTGAGACTATGAATTTCTTAACCCATGATTTCTTAAGCATTTCGCAGGGTGTACTGGAGGAGCTGGAGTGCGCAAGGCTGAGGGCTCCACAGGCCGCTCCCCAGAGGAGGGGAAGTGTGGAGACGATGGCAAGTCAGGAGGGACTGAAGAAGATCTGAACCGTGGGTATTTGTTTGATTTACGTGGGTATTTTTTTTATTTACGTTTTTTTTTTTTTGATGCTTACCCATCGGTCGTTGAACGTGGGTATTTTTTTGATTCCCAGATTCCAGTCTACTTTGAGCGCCTTCCTACTTCAATGATCGAGTGGCTTCACCTTTTCCGTCCTCCCTCGGGGGCGGACGGAACCCAATCTATGTTCAACGCCTTCCTACTTCATGCTTCTACCTAGTTCTTCCGACCGATGGGTAATGTGGATGACATGCTTACGAAGCTCACCTGTGACATGGTGAACACCAAGACCCTTGCCAATGACGCTCAGGCCACAGCGGAACAGGCAACGGAAACGGTAAAAGGCACGGGAACTCAGGTCCAGGGCGTGGATTCTAATGTCCAACGCGCGATTATCCCGGCCGAGACCATGGACATGAAGAACATGATCAGCAATGATGCGATGCGAAAGACTGTTCGTTCGGACGATGACAATGGCGAAAACAGGATCCTCCATGTCATTGCGGAGGGCTTGAAGGAGGATGCGGATGAGGATGCCAGCACGAATCGCCTCCAGGAGATGGTAGATGAGGTCGACTACTCCGCCACGCGCAAGGGGTACTGCAAGTCAACACAGTCGGCGCCAACAACGGGCTTGTAAGGAACATTGGGAGGCAATCGTGCAAATGAACAAATGTTGGCGAGATGCATTTCCATACCAATAAAACGTTGGAACAACGTGATCTTGACAAGGTACTTGGGCAATCCAAGCAGCAGCTCCCAGGATATTATGTGATACTTTCTCAAATCTATTCGCAGATTCTGGGAGAAGGAGGTCGTGAAATATACATATAGGGCGTGAAACGCATATGGATGACGGATGGGAGATTTTGGAATTATGATGCATCAGTCGGAGTCCCAAACGAGAACGCGATTTTCCAATAAGATGTGAGGAAATATCAGGGGGGAGCCGCTGTTGTTGTAAGCCGGGTGCCAGCGGCACAGATTGAGTCTCAAGACTCTCCCCAATAAAAGAAAAGGGTGCGAGCCCCGGGAGGGACACTTTAGTGGACAAAAATACCATGTGCACCGGGCGGGGGAGATCAACAGTAATTATTCTTCAGGAATGAGAGTTCAACAACAATAACACCAACAACAACAACGGCTCCTGTCTGATTCTTCTTTGCCATTGATTGAAGATTCGCGCTTTCTCTCGGGAATTCGATGCGATGTATTAAAGAATCGCGGTGTCGCCGGATACTTCCTCGCAGTTTATTCAAGCGTCGCGCTGTCGACACTCAGGAATCGCGCTGTCGCTTGGGATTTCTTCGCAATTGATTCAGGCGCCGCGCCCTCGACACTCAGGAATCAAACTTTCGCTCTGGAATCCCTCTGGTAACTTATTTGGGAATCGCGATGTCGCTCAAGGCTTTTCCTCGCGATTCATGCAGGCCCCACGCTTCAGCAACCCGCCTGCTCGACCTGGTCGCCTGGGCCCGCTTGTTCCGGTCTACCCGCCCGATCTGCCCGTCCGGTTTTGCCATGCGCTTTCTGCTCCTAGCCCCCCTCCTGCTACTCTCTTTCGTGCTCCATCCTCCAATCCTTCAACTGTCGTCTCTTCCACTGCCTTTCAGGGGCTGCATGAAATACACGTTGCGTGTGAGAAAGAGATACCCCCAAAGGGATACGATCGAAGACGAAGAGGAAGGGCATCGAGGGTTGGAATAGACGTGTTGAATGGCACGCGAGCAAATAAGAGCGAGTAGCCAAAACATGAATGTTGGTGCAGTTTCTGCTGTTGCTGTCGCTGTTGTCGAATGAATTCTCATGTCTCAGAATACTTACGATAGTTCCCCACTGCCCGGTAACTGTAATATTTGTTCAATTGACGTGCTTCTTCCGGGGCTCGCACCGTTTTTTTGTTTGTCTCATTATTATTTGCCTTAAGCAAAATGCGCCCCCCCCCTCCGGTTTACAACAACAGCGACTCCCGCCGAATACTTCCTCACAATTCATTCCCAAATTGCGCTCTCGCGCAGTACCCCCTAGCGATGCGTGTAGAAATCGCGCTCTCGCGTGGGACTTCCTTGCAATGGATTCAGGCGCCGCGCCCTCGACACTCAAGAACCACGCTTTCGCTTGGCCTCTCCCACGATTTACTTGGGATTCACGCTATCGCTCGAGACGTCCTCGCGATTCATGCAAGACGCATGCTTCTGCAACCCGCCTGCTCGACCTGGCCATCTGGGCCCGCCTGCACAAACCGCCCGTTAGGGCCTACCCGCCCGCCCGATGTACCCGTCCGCTTCTGCCAGGTATTTGTTGCTATTCGCCCCCTCTGCTGCTGTTGTCTCTCGTGCTTCCTCCTCCTCCATCCCCCTTGTCCTTTCGTTCCATCCGTCCTCTCGTCCCCTGCCCTGGGGGCTGCACGAACTGCACGTTGCAGGTACGAAAGATACGCCCCCCAAGGGGGCACGAGCGAAAACGAAGAGGGCAGGTATCGAGGGCTTGGGACATACGTAATGTGGCACGCGAGCAGATGAGAGCGAACAGCCTCAACATGGGTGTTGCTGCTGTTGCTGCTCCTGCTGCCGATGTTGTTGCAGTTGCCCTTCATATTGTTGTTGCTGCTGCTGTTTTCCCATTACTGAAGACTGATGATTGTTGATCCTCCCCCTCCGGAGCACATTGCGTTTTCAAGCCCTTCCCAGGGCTTCCACCCGGATTTTTCAATACATTCTGGGTCTCTGAATCATGTCTTTGGCCTCCGGTTTACAACAACAGCGGCTCCCGACTGATACTTCTCACAATGTATTCCCAAGTTGCGCTCTCGCCCGGGACTCCTCCCTCGCAATGTGTGTAGATATCGCCTCCTCGCATGGACATTCCTTGCGAATTATTGACACGCCACCCCCTCGATACTCAGAAATCACGCTGTCGCTTTGGTTCATATTAGGATTTACTTGGGAATCGCGCACTATCGCTCGAGACGTCCTCGCGATTCATGCGGGACGCACGCTTCTGCAACCCGCCTGCTCGACCTGGTTGCCTGGGCCCGCCTTCCCGACCCGCCTGTTGAGGCCTACCGCCCGATCTGCCCGTCTGGTTGTGCCACGTGTTTTTTTCTACACGTTCCTCTTTTGCAACTTTCTCTTGCGCTCCATCCTCCTCCCTCCCCTTGTCCCTTTTCTTTCATCCGTTCGCTCGTCTTCTGCCTTAGGGGCTGCATGAAATACACGTTGCACGCAAGAAATATTTACCACGAAGGGTTACGATCGAAGACGAAGAGGACAGATATCGATGGCTCGGTGTATATATATATGCGTGTGTTGCATGGCACGCAAGCAGATACGAGCGACCAATCTTGAATAATTTGTTGGGCCATCACGAATGATGAATGAGTCTTGTTGGTCTCCCCCCCTCCGGGAACAGTGGTGTGTTCGACTGAAGTGCCCTTCCCAGTGCTCGCGCCCTGAGTGCTATCAGAGAAAATCTTGGGTCTCAGAATTATACCTTTGGCCTCCGGTTGGCAACAATCGCGCTCTCGCGCGGGACCCCGTAGCGATGCGTGCAGAAATCGCGCTCTCGCGTGGGACTTCCTCGCAATTTATGGAAGCGCCGCGCCTCGACACTCAGGAATCGTGCTCTCGACACTCGAGGAGGCAGTTTAGGGATGCAATTGGTGGGGAGGAGGGAGGACAGACGAGGAGGGAGGGGGGGAGGGAGGGACGGAGGCAGGGAGAGGAGCGGCATGGACTGGGCAGGAGGGAGGGGGCTGGCGGAGCAGAGGGGGGAGGCGGGCACGCGAGGCGGGACGCGCAGGAGGCACGGATGGAGGACCTCCTGGGTGGCGCCAGAGCACCGGGGCCCCTCCCCCCGCGGGGGGCGGCCGCAGCGGCCGAGGCCCTCATCTGCGACTCGACCGTGCCCTTCGTGAGGTCGCTGGCGGAGCAGGACCAGGAGCGAGGGGCCTCTTGAACGGGAAGGGGGGATGAGGAGGAGGAGGAGGAGGAGGAGGAGGAGGAGGAGGAGGAGGAGGAGGAGGAGGAGGATGGAGGAAGGGGAGGAGGGAGAGGAAGGAGGAGGAGGAGGAGGAAGAGACGAGGAGGATGCGGAGGCGGAGGAGGAGGAGGAGGAGGAGGAGGAGGATTCGGAGGCGGAGGCGGAGGAGGAGGAGGAGGATGAGGAGGAGGAGGAGGATGAAGGGGAATACTAACAATACGAAGAATACGAATACTACTAAGACTACTACTCATACGACTACTACTACTACTACTGCTGCTGCTGCTGCTGCTACTACTACTACTACTAGTACTACTGCTACTACTACTACTAATACTACTACTACTACTACTACTACGACTACGACTACTACGACTACTACTACTACTACTACTACTACTACTACTGCTTCCTACTAATACTCTACTACTGCTACTAACTACTACTACTATACTACTACTACTACTACTACTACTACTACTTACGACTAACGACTACGACTACGACTACGACTAATACTACTACTACTACTACTACTACTACTTACTACTCTACTACCTACTACACTACTACTACATACTACGACTACGACTACTACTACTACTACTACTACTACTACTACTACTACTACTACTACTACTACTACTACTACTACTACTACTACTACTACTACTACTACTACTACTACTACTACTACTACTACTACTACTACTACTACTACTACTACTACGAGTAATAAGAATACACAATAATAATACGAGGAAGAGGAGGAGGAAGAAGGAGGAGGAGGATGGAGGAGGAGGAGGAGGAGGCGGAGGACGGAGGAGGAGGAGGAGGAGGAGGGGAAGGAAGATGAGGATGGAGGAGGAGGAGGAGGAGGAGGACGGAGGAGGAGGAGGAGGAGGAGGAGGAGGAGAGGAGGAGGAGGAGGAGGAGGAGGAGGAGGAGGAGGAGGAGGTGAGGAGGCGGAGGAGGAGGAGGAGGAGGAGGAGAGGAGGGGGAGGAGGGGGAGGAGGAGGAGGAGAGGAGGAGGAGGATGGAGGAAGAGGAGGAGGGGCAGAAGGAGGAGTAGTAGGAGGAGGAGGAGAGGGAGGAGGAGAGGCTGAGGTGGGAGGCGGAGGAGAAGAAGGAGGAGGACGAGAAGGAGGAGGAGGAGGCGGCGAGGAGGCGGAGGAGGAGGAGGAGGAGGAGGAGGAGGAGGAGGAGGAGGAGGGGGAGGAGGAGGAGGAGGAGGAGCGGCGAGGGGCGAGGGGCGAGGCGGGAGTGCCTCTGGCGCGGGATGGGGGGGCCTCTGCAACGCCTCGGCGCTTGGCGGCTAGCTGTTGCGCTCCCATGTTTCGGACGGTATTTTTTCGTTGCAAATGCACAGCACAATGGTGATGAACATACCGCCTCAGCAGCGTTGGTAATAGTGGCGAGAGTTGATTGTGTTGTGTAGCAAATGGAAGGTCCAGATTGCACTGCTTGATGCCCTTCCAGGCACGAGGAGGACGAGTCAGGTGCGTTGTTTCACGATATGCTTCTGGAGACGGGCATGGCGGCGGTGAATGCCTTCGTCCCGCGCGCCACCCTGGACTCATGCACATGCATCGCGCCCAAGTCAGAGGCCCACCACATCATCGATTACACTGCGGTTGAACAGTCAATGGTCCCCGCCACTGGAGAGGTGCATGTGATATACGACATCGACTCGTTCTGCACTGGCAGAGATTATTTTCCCGCGCTTGTTCGCATGGAGTCCGCACAACTAAGTCCAGGGGCGCCGAGTCAGGGTTTCAATATGCGGGGATCCACGACCCCGTCAAGAAGGCCGCATATCGGGAACATCTGGATGCCATCCCCACTGTGCCCCGCTCGGTGGACATGAACCAGCACTTGCACGACATCAATCACTACATGCAATTTGGCGCATGACGTTGCTTCCCTAGGCCAAAAAAAAGTCCCGAACAAACCCCACGTTTCGGATGAGCTCTTGGGTCCGACTGTTTTCCGGAGGCAAGTGCGGCAAGCTTGGCGTCTCTGGGGCAAGCCAGACTCGGGCGGTCTCGGGAGGTTGGTCGATGCCTCAATCAAGGCGGCCCCCCCCCAGGGAGGAGGAGGAGGAGGAGGAGGAGGAGGAGGAGGAGGAGGAGGAGGAGCTTTTTCTGGACTTCCAATCCTGGGCCGAAAAGAGCATCGCAGCGGCGGCCCTGGCCGAGCACGCGAGTAAGTTCCCGGCCAGGTCCCAGCCGCCTCCCAGACGCGCCGCGAGGAGACCCAGGAAACAGCCGTTAGACGACATGGCCCAGCAGACTGCCAATGCCAGGTGCTCGCACGAGGGGCGCATCGAATGGTGGGTGCTACGTCAGCTACCGAGATTTTGGGGCAAGAAGCAAGTTCCAAGTGGAGGGTTTGCGAATGCGCCGTGGCGCTGGGCGCGATTCGGGCCACTTCGGGCGACTTAGCGGAGATTCCGCGGTGATCGAGGACGGCCAGGCCGCGAGTTGGGACGCCCTGGATGATGAAGACAACTCTCTACCTGAGCACGGAAGTATCAATCCCAGGGAGCTGGGCATGATCAGCCCTTCTGCGGAGGCTGCAGCACGACATCGTTAGAATTGCCAAAAGAGGCGGAGCGGGGCCCGACCGTCTCACAAACGACGTACTACAGGTCGCACCGTGCGAATGCGCGCGGATTCTGCGCCCGTTCCTCGTCCAGATCAACCTGGCCTCCAGGGGGCCCTTGCTTTGCAAGGGGGGATGGCAATGCGAGTTACTCTCATCAGGTTCACCAGAGCCCCATCGAGCATTACATATGAATACTCTTACGATGCAACCCTACGAAGCTGCGCGACGCCTTCCCTCGCAGCAAGTTGCTGGAGGCATCCTGACACTTGGTCTCGGAGATCCAGCAGTGGGGGATCGAGAGAGGCACCGATACTGCATGCTTGCATTTGCTCGCGGCCATCGTGGTGGCAAGGGCCAGGAAACGCGAGATTCGGTTTTCGCCCATGGATCTCAAGGCCGCGTTTCACTTGGTCATCAAGGGGTTCGCGTCGAGAGTGGTCCAGCGTAGCGCGGACATCCAGAACACCCATTGGAATTCGAAGTGCCAGTTGGCCTCGAGCCCCCTTGTCACGCCCTCGTCGCCAAGCCGTGGGCCGTGGACGAGTTGGAGAAAACGCCTCATGGAGGCGTTTATGGATGTCATGGATTGCAAGTGGGTCCAGGTCCGTGGCAGTGAGAGGGTAGTCTCGCCCAGGAAGTGGATTTGTGCTGACGTGCCTTTGACAGATGTGTTGTTCGTCATCGCTTTCGACCCCACCGTCTGCGCTTTCAATGCAAGGCTGGGTGTCTTGGGATATCTGCAGTGGACTCGAGAGATCCCCCATCTCAGAGGGTATATTGAGACCGGGAACGCCAGTATGAGGATCAGGATGTTCGGGGTCCTGCTTTCATGGATGATCGAGTGAACGGTATTAAACTTGAGGATGCTAGGTCTTGGAATGAAGCTGCCACTGTCTTGGTGTAGATCACCGATGAACAGATTAGAACGCGCGGCTTCCTTATGAACTGGAGGCCAGGCAAGGCCGAGCCCGTGGCCGTCTTCAGCGGCAAAGGATCGAGGAGGACCCGAGGGGAATTTGCAGCGATGGCTGCCACGGGCCTGCTCGCACCCTCCATTGGCATCGCCCTGTGCTCCACTAGGACGTACAAACATTTGAGCAGACATCAGGATCATCATATATCCGCGGCCCCCGAGTTCGCGCGTCGTTGCCATCAGCAGCGGCGCCCGCTGTGACTTCTGAAGCGCGCGGTTTTTCCTGATGAAGCAGGTTGACCTTGCAGCCAAGCTGACGAAGGCTGTTTCTTTCTGTTCGTCGCATTTGCTTTGAAACGCCCCGATTTGGCCAAGCCATAACATTAAGCACCAGGCCACAGGTGCTCACGACTACTTCAATCCCTTCAGGCATGCGGCGAAGCTCGGGCCTGGCACAATGACGGGCAAAACTGCTGCAGACCATGGCGTAATCATTGCTTGCTGCATTTTGCTTTGCCTATTGAACTGATGTCGAGGCTGAGGAGATTACACTTCCTGCCCAGGCTTTCCAAAACGGCGGCCCAGCGTTTGTTGGACTACCTTGACGAGCGTCATCCCCGCCCAGATTCGTGCGCAGACCTGTGTCGCGGGGATCTAGAGTGGCCAGGACTGCGCGTGAGTCTACATAAGGACCACCTCCCCCCAGGTCCACCAGCTTGCTGGATTTGGTCGTTGAGGGCCACTGCGGAGAAGTTATGGGAGAAGTTGCGCAGGCAGGCCGAGGGCGTTGCCAGCGTCCCTGCCTGGACTGCTGGGCGGCGCTGGCAACCAAGGGCGCGCGGGCCTCCCGTCGCTCTGAGGCTGCCCTGACGTGGACCCAGCTCCCACGTATGTGTCTGGCGCCATCTGTCTTGCTTGCGGCGTGGACTTTCACGCGCATTTAAGACAGCTCAAACGTGTCAGGCACGGATCGCCAAAGTGCCTGGCCGACATTTTGACCGTCTTTCCGCCCCCCCCCCCCCCCCCGGAGACGTCGAGCAGGTTGCTGAGCAGAACGGGGCGATGCCGAGTTTCCGCGCGCGCTGCGTAGGAAAGGACGCGACGCAGAGTCAGCGCAGCGCCCGCCAGTCCCCACCGAGGGCCCCGCTTGAATGGCGCTGCCGCATCTATGCCCCCCCCCCCCGACTGCAGTGGGCGAAATTTGTTGTAATGCTGCGAATGTACAGGTGGAGACGCACGCGAATACTGTGACCCCTCCTTGTCCAGCTAAACGTCACTTCAAGGACATAAGTATTCCAGATTTCGCAATGAAAGGGAGGGGGTCTGGACCCTCCAAGACAAGCCATTTCAGATTTCCCCCGCGGGAGGACCCTCCAAAACATCGCCCCCAGACCCCCCAGGCCCTCCAAGATAGCCTGGAAGAGACCCCCCCCGAAATGAACCCCCCCTCCCTTCCTGACGAAATCTGGAGTATTATTCGTGCCGCCCCCATAAGGGAGGGCGATGTCCAGGCGTGTTTGGAGAATGTGGGTACCATAGCGGGTAGAGCTTGTGTAGCGCTTTCAGCGGAATGTCTTCCGAAGTTTTCGGCATGATCCCGAAGATCTTCGAAACAATGTTAGACGCATCGCGGATGTAATTTTGCTGGTAGAGTGGTGGGGGTCCTTGCGGACCCCCCGCAAACCCCGCGGGACCCCGCCCCCCGCTGCAAGGTCAAAGAGGGGGGGGGGGGGGGAGCAGGATTTCGAGGAGCTGCGAGGAACCTTGGGGCATCTCTGCCAGATTGCCCTCCGAGTGGAAAAGCTCAGAGCTTGAGAATGGGTGCCTCCGTGCAGCGATTGAGCTTGCATGGCGCTCGGCCTCCTCGGGTCTGGCGACGCCAGTGGGATTAAGATACCCCGTCCAACATTCTCATCAGTCCTGCGTGCGGAGAGTCCCCCGAGGTCAGGTTCACATTCTTTGGCGGCAGTGTGTCCGACGCTCTCGTCGAGCTGCGTGCCAATCGGGGGCCGTCAGTGCCTTGTTTCGAACGATGTGCTCGCAATTGCACCCCCAGACAACAGCCAGGTTGATGTCTACCTTGCTGCAGCGATCGCCTCAACCGTCTCGATAAGTTGTGCCCCCATGCCTCTCGGGGATGGATGGCTAGAAACTGATGTTGCCTGCCTATGCTCCCCTCTCGACATGTATTGCGAGGGGTGCTGAGGATGGCCAGTGTTGCCTTCTCTCTCTCTCTCTTTCTCTTTTTTTTTTTTTTTGTTTGTCTCTCTCTCTCTCTCTCCCTCTCTCTCTTTCGGCCTTGCTTCTCTTACCGGTGACGTTGCATCTGTGGACGCTTCAGACGTTCGTCTTCAGGGCTGTGGGAAGGAAACGAGAAGGATGAGGAGGAGGAGGAGGGGGAGAAGGATGAATGAGGAGGAGGAGGAGGAAGAGGAGGAGGAGGAAGAGGAGGAGGAGGAGGAAGGGCAAGGAGGATGGGTGGGTGCCCAGCGCGCGCAGGGCAAGGCGACCTTCCGCTCGATCAGCAAGAAGTACAGCCAGGACCTCGAGGCCCCGCGGCCGCACCTTCGAGGAAGGGCCTCCTCGCGGGGCGCGGGGAGGGAGGCCCTCCGCTTAAGTCGGGCCTGTCCCCCTACAGGGGGACTTTCGACGAAAGATCAAACATACCCCAAAAATAGTCAAACCATAGTTCAGAAATAGTCTGGGGACTTTCTTTTCAGTATTTTCTGACCTTTTGGGGGGTATTTTTGGGGTATTTTTTTTTGTTCGTCGAAAATCCCTCTGTAGGGGGACACGCCCGACATACCTCCGCCTCTCCCTTCGGGGGCCCCTTCGGGGGTGGAGGGAGGGAGGGGCTGAGTCGGGCATGTCCCTCCACAGGAGGAGCATCCCAGAGTAGGGAAACATAGTTTTGGGGACGATTGCTCCACTGTTTGCGATGGCGTCTGAGCATCTTGGAACCTTTTGGTTCTTTCGTTTGGTCTCCAAAATCCGCCTGGAGAGGACGTGCCCGACCTAAGGAAGCGCGGCCCCTCCGGGGAGGGGGGACGGGAGGCCCGTCGCCACCTCCCCCTCCCGGCCGACCAGCGCCGCGGGCCGGGGGGCACTCGCAACCGGACGGGGGGCCACGACGAGGAGAAGCATCCGCGCCGGGGCGCTCCAGAACTCAGGGGAGGAAAAGGTACCCATGCCTCTACCCTCCCCTCGTTTGCCCCCGTGTGGGCCTCGGAGGCCCTCGTCACCATGCACCGCTGGATTCGCCTCGAAATCCTGGTCAGAACGCGCCCCGGGAGAGGTCCAGGGAGTAGCGGTATCGGTACAGAACGTTCTCTGCGCGTCCTGGAACGTTCTGAGAAGGCCGCGGCGCCCGAGACATCCTCCAGGGCCGCCGGATCTCAGAGATTCCCGAATGATCTTCACACACACACACCTGATGTTATCCTCGTCCTGGCTTCGAAGAACCAACTGTTGCATTACCATAGACTTTGGACGCTCTGCGCGGATCTCTTGGACTTGCGCTGGAGCCCCCATCGCGGCGCCGACCCTGGCGCCCCCCATGGCACGCTCCACGCGCCAAGGAGGTGGGATCCAGCGCAGGTTCAAAAAATCCGCGCGGAGCGTCGTCAGTTTCTGTTTGTGCAGTTTTTTGTTCCTCTAGGATCAGTGCGGTCGCAATGTGTTCGTAAAGAGTGGGTGCGAAGACCAGCAGCAGTTCCTGTGCATCCTGCACCGGATTCGTTGTCTGTGCCGTCGCGGGCGCCGTACATTTGTGAGACAGACGGCCTGCCCAATAGCGGCCGCTATTGGTTTGTGGCGCCATTCGTTGCTGGGCATTGTGCCCATGCTTTCCGCTCTCATTTCGGGCGTCCAAATAGGAAAGAAATGGGATCCGATGGAGTCCGATGCATGGCCGATGCATCGCCGACGCGACTCGGTGAGCAGGCGGAATGTCTCCACACCCTCGTCGTTGTAGCATCGCCGACGTCCCCGATGCATCGCCGATGCATCGATGATGCGTCGACGATGTGGCGCGATCCTTGGACCCCATCTGCTCAGACCCCATCTGGGAGGCCTCCAGATGATAGTGGTGATGTTGTGCAGAAGGTCCCTGCTGAGAGCCGTCGTCGAGGTGCAGCCAAAGGCCAGGTGGCTGAGCGCGTGGCCGCCAACATCCGCTGGCCACCGTGAGGAGACGCGCCACCGCGCGAGACGTACACAGCAAATACAGTAGACATGGGGACGTGGCAAGGGGAGGGTGGCAGGAGAGGAAAGGAGCGAAGTGGGTGGGGGGGTAGGGGGAGGAAGGATGGGGAAGGAGGAGGACGAGGACGAGGACGAGTACGAGTACGAGGACGAGGACGAGGAGAGGACGGTAGGAGGAGGAGGAGGAGGACGAGGACGAGACGAGGAGGGAGGAGAGAAAGGAGGAGGAGAGGAGGAAGAGGAGGAGGAGGGGGAGGAGGGGGAGGAGGAGGAGGAGGAGGAGGAGGAGGAGGAGGAGGGCCCCCTCGTCCTCCTCCACACGACCCAGCTACCTCCCCCTCCCGAGCGGCGATGTGCCTGGGTCGCTCACGCCGCGGGAACACGCGGCGTCACTCCAGGTGTAAGTCGGGCATGTCCCTCAACAGGACGAAAACTCAAAAATATGCAGAACACATTCTGGGGGCGTTTTTTTTTTTTTTTTTTTTTTTTTTTTTTTGCAATTTGGGGTTTTTCTTTTGGGTATTCTTTAGTTCTCTTTCAACATCCGCCTGTAGGGGGACATGCCCGACCTAACTCCAGGGGGGGGAGGCAGGGGTTGTGGTGGGGGCGAATGGGAGCTCGAATAACAACAAACTGCATAATCACAAACTTTCGACGCTCAGTCGGCGCCTTGACCCCCCTGGCGGCGCCGACCCTGGGGCGCGCCGATCCGGGACATCCGCGCGGTCCTCCGGAAGTTTGTGCTTGTGCAGTTTTTTGTTCCACTAAGGGGACAGGGGTCGGGGTGGAGGCAGTGATGGAGGAGGGGGACGGTAGGGAGATGTTTATGTTGTTCTCGTTCCTTTGAATGGGGCAGCGGTCGGGGTGGGGGCAGTGGTGGAGGAGGGGGATGGGGGAGGGAATGCATGGGGAGGACGTGGGCAGCGAAGGGAGAGTCGGGGACGAACGGAGATGCTTATGGGGGACTTGAGGAGCGGAGCAAAGACGCACTTATGCTTAAGTCGGGCGTGTCTCTACAGGGGGAATGTTCAAACATAGTCCAAATACAAAATCAGGGGACAGTTTTTTTTTTATATACAAAATTTTGATTTATATATATATATATATATATATATATAGTGGGAGTAACTTTTTCTCGCCCAAGAACCCCCTACAGGGGGACAGGCCCGACCTAATGCATGTGTTTTCCGTGGGTTCCAGCGGCATGCCGACGGTATGCCTTGCGCGAAGGCTCCTGCCACGCGGCTGGCCTCGCGGACCGGAGGGGCCGTGCTCGTGTGCGCTCATGGGCGCGCGCGTCTTCTGCGGGCTCCCGCAGATAGATCGGATCGAGAGCATACACTTATGGAAGTCGATGACTGGAAAGGAAGCCTGCTGCCAAATAATTTCCAGAGTATGTGAAAACATGTTTGAAACATGTTTATAACATTTTCTACACATTTGAAGCACATGTTAAATTCAACGATAGGACTGTTAGGGTGTCCATTGTCGTGGCATCCACAAGCATACACTAAGGCGACCACAAACATGGATCAATGGGGCGTGGATTAGCGACGGGTCCCGCTTCCATGGGAAATCGCAGATTCCCGCCGCCGAAGGAGGCGGCACCGGCCGCAATCTGGGGAGGGCGCCTCCCCCGATCCATGGATTTGGCGACCACCCGCCAAATCCATGGATCGCTAATCCATGTTTGCACGCCCCCCGCGAGAAAACGCGCCGGTCGGTGGAAGTATGTATTTTGGATTTCCAGATCCCAGCCTAATTCAAGCGCCTTCCTGCTTCAATGTTCAATCTGCTTTTGTTGTGTTTTATTACTCCTTGGGAGGGCCTGACCCCAATCTACTTTATCCGCCTTCCAACGTCATGTTTTGATCTACTTCTTTCGACCGACGTGTAGGCAGGGGGGCCGGGCGATGGTCATGGAAACCGGCGGCCGAATGGGGGGGCGGGGCAAACATGTGCGGAGAGAGCAGGGGGGGAGAGGACAGAGGGGATGCCGATGCCAGCTCGGAGAGCGGGCGAGGGGAACGGGAACGCTCTCAGAGCGTTCCAGGACGCTCTGAGAAGGCCGCGGCACCCGGTGCGTCCTCCAGAGCCGTGGGATCTCGGAGATTCTCGGTTTCTCCTCGTCCGAATCTATCCTCGTCCTGGCCCCGCCTCACGTAGGGGTGAAGAGCAAGAGTGCGATGTGCACGAGCTGGAGCAGACTGAGGCGCATGGGCTCGCGCTTCGTGCCGCTGGCCTCCTTCCCCCCCTCCTGGAAGACTCCTCCGCCTCCTCCTCCTCCTCCTCGTCCTCCCTTCTCGCCCTCGTCCTCCCCCTCTCTGGCCTATCACGGGCTCCACAAGTCCTCCCCTTGCTCCTCCTTCTCTTCGCCCTCCTCGTCGTCCCCTCCCTCCTCCCCGTCGCTTCTCGCCAGCCCCCCCGCTGCGACCCTCCCGAGGGGCTGCTGTCGACGCTGGGCACGTGCAACCTCCACTACATCCGGTGCTTCAAGCCCAACGAGGAGCAGAAGGACGGCGCCACTCTACCCGCACCGAGACTTTCAGCGGAGGGGGGGGGGCTCCCTCACTATAGAACGATTCTCGCCCACCAGCACCGGCACCGGCACCGGCGCCGGCACCGGCACCGGCACCGGCACCGGCACCGGCACCGGCACCGGCACCGGCGCCAGCACCGGCACCGGCACCGGCACCGGCACCGGCACCAGCACCGGCACCGGCACCGGCACCGGCACCGGCACCGGCACCGGCACCGGCACCGGCACCGGCACCGGCACCAGCACCGGCACCGGCACCGGCACGGGCACCGGCACCGGCATTAGCCCTGGCGCCGGCGGCATTGGCACTGGCACCGGCACGGGCACCAGCGCCGGCGCCGTCGCCGGCGCCGTCGCCGGCGCCAGCACCGGCACTGCATGGCACCCGCACCCGCAACCGCACCGGCACTAGCCTTGGCACCGGCGGCACCGGCACCGGCGCCGGCGCCAGCACTGGCACCGGATGAAAAACATCATTGACATTGAACATCATGACATTTCCCAAACAGTGCTTGCACTTAGGGGGCCTTCTCTCTTCTTTCCTAGTATTAGCTGGGTCGTCTGAGGGGCGGTCTGGCGGCTCTCTCCTTCTCGCCGTTGCCGCCCTGTCGCCGCCCGTCGTCGTCTGGGCTTGAGGGGCGGTCTAGTTTTTCCGTCCTTGCCGTCGCCCCCCCTTGCTGCGTCGTCGCCGCCCGTCGTCTTGGCCTGAGGGTCGGTCTGGCGGTTCCTTGCTCGTCGCCGTCACCGTCCCGTCGCCGCCTCCTCGTCGCTGCCCTGTGCGCCCCCCAGCGGTTGCAATCCAATCGGTTGCAAGCCAATCAAGTGCAAACCCAGTGGAATCGATTGCAGTCCTATCAATGGTAAAATTATGCAAACGCAGTTCCCCACATAAAAAATATTAACAGTTTCGTGGGACCCATGGGGTACGACAACATCAACACGAAGGAAAAGTTCATCGAACGAGTAAGTACGCACGAAAGGGCAGACGAAAGAAAGGAGGAGGGAGGACAGGTGCTCAGGAAACGAAGCCTTGTAAATAGTACGGGTTGTTGATACCCTCTTCGCTCTGGCGGGGCCCCACTGGAAGGGGGGAAGCCTACGAAACCTGGTAAAGAGTAATGCTGTCCGCGACCCTCCTCGTTCAAGCGAGTCCTCCTCCTCCTCCTCCTCCTCGTCGTCCTGCTCCTCCTCGCCCTCCTCATCCTCGGCATCGTCATCATCACCATCATCATCATCATCACCAGCATCATCGTCGTCATCGTCAGCATCATCAGCAGCATCGTCTTCACCCCGTCGTCGTCGTCATCATCAGCATCATCGTCATCATCATCAGTATCAACATCATCAACATCATCATCATCATCATCATCATCATCGTCAGCATCATCGGCATCATCATAACCATCATCATCATCCTCATCATCATCAACATCATCATCATCGCCAGCGTCATCATCATCACCATCGCCAGCGTCATCGTCATCATCATCATCATCGTCGTCGCCACCATCGTCCTCATCATCATCATCATCAGCATCGTCGTCATCATCACCATCATCGTCCTTGGCATCATCATCGTCCGCATCATCGCGGACGTCATGATCATCAGCATCATCGTCGTCATCATCATCAACAGCACCAGAAACGTCAGCATCAGCAGCAGCATCGTCATCATCACCAGCATCTGCATCATCATCCTCGTCGTCGTCGCCATCGTTGTCGTCATCGTCATCGTCATCATCATCATCGTCATCATAATCAGCATCATCAGAATCACCGTTATCGCCATCGTCATCGTCCATCCGCATTATCGCCATCGTCATCGTCATCGTGAACAGCCGTATAACCATCGTCATCACCAACATCATCATGAAGCCTTCCTCATCGCAGAACTCCCCCTCCTCCTCACCTTCCTCAGTGGGAGGAGTAGGACGTGAGATGGATAGGTAATTTTCTCCCTTCCTCCTCACCCATGTCAGTGGGAGGGGCACGAAACCATTTAAATAGTATGGGTTTCCGATACCCTCCTCGCTCACACGGGGCCTCCCTGGAGAGGTGGTAGAGGCACGAAACCATGTACATAGCATGGGTTTCCGATACCCTCCTCGCTCAGGCGGGGCCTGCCTGGAGGGGTGGGAGGGGCACGAAACCATGTAAATAGCATGGGTTTCCGATACCCTCCTCGCTCAGGCGGGGCCTGCCTGGAGGGGTGGGAGGGGCACGGAACCATGTAAATAGCATGGGTTTCCGATACCCTCCTCGCTTAGGCGGGGCCTCCTTGGAGAGGTGGGAAGGGCACGAAACCATGTAAATAGTATGGGTTTCCGATACCCTCCTCGCTCAGGCGGATGGAAAGGGCACGAAACCATGTACATAGTATGGGTTTCCGATACCCTCCTCGCTCAGGCGGGGCCTGCCTGGAGGGGTGGGAGGAGCACGAAACCATGTAATCTTTATTAATTTCCGATACCCTCCTCGCTCAGGCAGGGCCTCCTTGGAGAAGTGGGAAAGGCACGAAACCATGTAAATAGTATGGGTTTCCGATACCTTCCTCGCTCAGGCGGATGGAAGGGGCACGAAACCATGTAAATAGTATGGGTTTCCGATACCCTCCTCGCTCAGGCGGGGCCTGCCTGGAGGCCTGGGAGGAGCACGAAACCATGTAATCTTTATTAATTTCCGATACCCTCCTCGCTCAGGCAGGGCCTCCATGGAGAGGTGGGAAGGGCACGAAACCATGTAAATAGTACGGGTTCCCGATTCCCTCCTCGCTCAGGCGGGGCCTCCCTGGAGGGGAGGGAGGGGCACGAAACCATGTAAATAGGATGGGTTTCCGATACCCTCCTCGCTCAGACGGGGCCTCCCTGGAGGGGAGGGAGGGGCGCGAAACCATGTAAATAGTATGGGTTTCCGATACCCTCCTCGCTCAGTCAGGCGGGGCCTCCCTGCTGGAGGGGTGGGATACCCTCCTCGCTCAGGCGGGGCCTCCCTGGAGAGGTGGGAAGGGCACGAAACCATGTAAATAGTATGGGTTTCCGTTACCCTCCTCGCTCAGGCGGGGCCTCCCTGGAGGGGCGGGAGGGGCACTGCTGGGAGGTGGGAGGCGGGAGGGAAAAGGAGAGGATGTTCTGGGAAAGCAAGAACCCGCACCAGCACCGGCCACCGGCACCAGCACCGGCACCGGCACCGGCCCGGCACTGGCACCAGCACCGGTTACCGGGCACCGGCACCGGCACCGGCACCGGCGGCACCGGCACCGGCACCGGCACCGGCACCGGCACCGGCACCGGCACCGGCACCGGCACCGGCACCGGCACCGGCACCGGCACCGGCACCGGCACCGGCGCCGGCACCGGCACCGGCGCCGGCGCCGGCACCGGCACCGGCACCGGCACCGGCACCGGCACCGGCACCGGCACCGGCACCGGGGCAAGAATCGTTCATGCCTTGGCTCCCTGGCCCGAGCGGGCTGGGAGCCTGCAGGCGAGCAGAGCTCGGGCGTGGAGGAGGAGGGAGGAGGAGGGAGGAGGAGGGAGGGAGGGGAGGGAGGAGGGAGGGAGAGGAGAAGGGAGGAGTGGGAGGAGGGGAGGGGGGGAGGAGGGGGGGAGAGGAGAGGAGAAGGGGGGGGCGAGGAGTGGGGGAGGGCGAAGCGCGCACCCCTCGTGCCCCTTCCGGGTCTCAGGGGGCTCCCGCGGCGCCCCCTCTGTGGCATAAGAGGTGCACGCCTCCTCCCCCCCCCCCAATTTGTCGCCAAGTCCCGTTGCCTGACGCCCGAGGGCTGCAGACACGGCTGGCAGGCTCCTCGGAGCCCCCTCTCGGTGCATTCGCCGCAGTCCGGTTGCTCGCGGCGCTGGAGCCGAAACTTTTTTGATCCGCGGGTCGAGAGCGCACCTCTGCCGGTCGAAGCTAAGCGGGCCGCGCACAGCTTTGAATTGACAGAGGGGGGCAGGCAGAAGGAGGGGCCTCACGTCAGCTGGAGCCGAAACGCATCGCAAGACACATGCGCTGCGGGCGGGGGGAGGGGGGCTCGGACCACTGTGGCACTCTTGGCTGTTTGCGGGCAGGGCGGTGCCTTCCCGCGCCCAACGATGGTACGTCCAGGCGAAGGGGCTCCTGTCACAGAGCGGTGGCTTCACCACGACAAGGCCAAATTTTGCCGATGGAGCAGGATGCTCTCCCCTTGTGTGCAACAGGCGCGTCCGAAGCCAAAAAACAACAAGCACAGTCGAGACGCTGAAAGAAGGAGCAGTTTGGGTTCGGCAGGGTCTCGCTGTTCCTGAAGGTTCCTCCAGTGTTTTGTTTCTGATGCGCTTGCAGGTCCAAGCAGGGGCTTCGTTCCTTCTTTGGCGTTCCTTCTTTCAGTGGCCCGACTGCAAGCGTGTTTCTTTCGTTCTTTCTCTGGCGTTTCTGTGGCTTTCCCTGGCGCTGTCTCTTCGTTCTTTCTTCCGCTCTCTCTCTGGCGTTCTTGCAAGTTGTTTTTTGTTCTCTCGTCGTTTCTTTGGCGTTTCTGTGGCTCTCCTTGCTGCTCCCGAGCTCCGCGCGGATCTCTTGCCTCGGCGCCGCACCCCCCTCGGCGGCGCCTCTGGCGCCATGTCTTGCCTGGCGCGCCGGCGAGGGAGGCCCGGCACCGATATGTGCGAGGCAGCCGCGCGGAGCTCCGGAAACGTTGGAAGGGGGGGGACGTGCTCAGAGGGGGACGCATCGGCCCCCGACCTTGGGGGGTATAGGGAGACAGAACAAGTGGCATAAACGTGACACACAAAGGGACAGAAGTGGCATAAACATAAAAATCAACGAAAATGGAGACAAAAACTCGGAGGTCCGCGCGGACTTCTCGGATCGGCGCCGGGCCCCCCCGGCGGCGCCTCCGGCGCCGCCCCTGGCGCGCTCCGCGCGCTAGGGAGGGGGGCCCCATCGTTGATCCGAGAAATCCGCGCGGACCTCCGAGTGTTTATGTTTATGCCACTTTTTGTTTCCCTAAGGTATGCTCAGAGGGGGGATGTGCCCAGAGGGGAATGTTGCGTTTGTCGCCGATGGGGGTCCGACAGCCCATTTGCACAGGAAGCTGTGGCTTGGCGATGCGGGGGGGTGTGGGCGAGGTGTCGTCGATTCCAGGCCGATCTTTCCCCCCCTGGCGTTCGGCCTCATCCACGGCCGAGTCAGCAGTTCAAGGCCCTGGAGCCAGGACCCTTTTGGACTGTGTATGCTTCTGGGGCAGCGAGCGTGCATCATTAGCTAACAGGCCATTTCGGGGCGCACGCCTAGCACACGCTGCGCCCAAACTCGCACTTCGCACTCGCACTTCACACTCGCACTCCGCACGTGCCCCCGCACTCACCCCCCACAAAGTGCGCCCGCACTCGCACCTCACACTCGCACACCGCACTCGCACTTCCCGCTCACTCGCCACACTCTACGCCCACACTCAACCAACGCAGTCATCCAACACAGTCGCACAACACAGTCGCCCAGCGCAGTAGCCCCACACAATCGCCTAACGCAGCCACCCAGCATGACCACCCAACGCAATCACGAAACAGAGCCACCCAGCTAGTCCAACACGGCCGCCCAACGCAGTCAACCACCAGAGTCACCCAACGCAGTTGGCAATATCTGCCACCTAACGCATTCAGCCAACGCAGTCGACCAACACGGTCGCCCAACACAGTCGGCCAGAGCAGTCACCAAACAGAGCCACTGAACGCAATCATTCAACACGGACACCCAACGCAGTCACCCGACGCAGTCGCCCACGCAATCCGGCGCCCTCCCAACAAAAGTGGAAGCCAATTGATTTTTCGCTGCCTGCGGTCACCTATCCGACGAAGGCATCTATGCACCACCACCGTGCCAGTCCAGGGCCATCCTGGGCCCCAGGATGGTGTATAGAGCCTCCTGGCTTCGGCCAGGAGGGCGTATACACCAGGCCAGCGCCATGATGGCCCTGGCCTGGCGCGGTGGTGGTGTATAGATGCCTTCTGCGTCACCTTATGCACTTCGCAGCCCGTCAACGAAAAGCGCGCGCGCACCCGAGAGCGGCGATGGCCCCGCTCTTGCCGCCGGGCGCCCCGCCCTCCGCTCTCCCGAAGCGATCTCCCGCACGAGCGGTCCTGTGGACGCCCCTTGAGAAGCTTCGCTGGGCTGCCGTGGGGAGTGGGGAGTGGGGAGGAGGAGGAGGAGGAGGAGGAGGAGGAGGAGGAGGAGGAGGAGGAGGAGGAGGAGAGGAGGAGGAGGAGGAGGCGGAGGAGGCGGAGGAGGAGGAGGAGGAGGAGGAGGAGGAGGAGGCGGGCGGAGGCGGAGGCGGAGGAGGAGGGGGAGGAGGAGGAGGGAGGAGGAGACGGAGGAGGAGGAGGAGGAGGAGGAGAGAGGAGGAGGGGAGGAGGAGGGGGAGGAGGGGGAGGAGGAGGAGGAGGAGGAGGAGGAGGAGGAGGAGGAGGGAGGAGGAGGCGGCGCGGAGGCGGAGGCGAAGCGGAGGAGGAGGAGGAGCAGGAGGAGGAGGGCAGGAGGAGGAGGAGCAGCAGCAGCAGCAGCAGGAGGAGGAGGAGGAGGAGGAGGAAGAGGCGGATGACGGAGCGTCGGGAGGGCGAGGAGGAGGAGCGGAGGATTAGGAGGGGGAGGAGGAGGAGGAGGAAGAGGAGGAGGAAGAAGCGCCGGAGGAGGAGGAGGAGGAGGAGGAGGCTGTGGGGGAGGACTGTGGGGCTCCGCGGTGGGTACAGGGGACGACGAGGAGGACGGAGACGGCGAGCGAACGGGCAGCAGGATGAGGGCAGCGGGAGGGGGCGAGGGGGAGGGAGGGCCACGCACCCCCTCTGGCGGCATCCGGGGGCTGGAAGCAAAAGCGAGCTGGGCCAGCTGCGCCCAGCTGGGGAGGGCCTATGCATCGCGTCGCTGCCCGCCTGCCTGCCGCCCCTGGCGCGCCCTCTCCAGCCGAGAATCTTCAAGCAGCCCCTGGTCCTGGACCAGATCGTGCAGTGCGGCACCATCGAGCTCGTGAAGATCATGCACGACGGCCGCCCCGGGCAGGTCAAGCGCGCGAGCTCGCAGAGGAGGGCCCGAGAGGCCCCCAGGAGCATCCCGAGAGGTCCTCCAGAGGCTCCCAAGAGGCCCCCCCGAGCTGCCCCTTGGGGGCGCCCGGGCCCGACTCGACTCCGCTGTTACTTCTCGAGCCGCAAGAGCAGCAGGAACATACACGTTCGGAGCTCTGCGCGGCGCTCCGACAGTGTGTACTTTCATTTGAGCTGTCGGAGCTCTGCGCGGAGCTCCGACAGATCATTTAGCCTCGACAGGCGTGGGTGCGGCGAGAGGAAATCTACCTACAAGCGCAGGTGCGCGTAGTCATTGCGGGTGGTCTTGTTGCTCCGCGCAACGAAGGTATCCCCAGGAGGAGGCGGAGGCTAAGGGAAGAGTAAGGGTGTACGAGGGAAGGAGAAGAAGTGGTAAGATTGTCCCTTCTATGGGAAGCGTGGGATCCAGTGCTCGGGAGGGCGTGTCGGGGGTGAACCCCCTGGTTGCCCCCAACTCCTTGTGTATAAATGGAAGGGGTCTCTGCCTGAACGCCGCTGACATGCGTGAGGTAATGACAAACACTGGGCTGAACTCAGGATCTTCAAGAACTGGCTTGGCTGGTCTGGCTGGCAGGGCTGGTTGGGTTGGCTGGGGGGACCACGTCGGAAAAAGCTCCCTCGGCCACCCGAATTGGGGCTTGGCTGCTTGGACTGCCTTGGCCGGCGGGGTTGGCCTGGCTGATTGGGCGGCAGGGGGTGCATCGGAGTGCTTCCGAGGCCACCACGCAGTCCTGGCCATCATACGAGGAAGCCTATGTGGGGTGCCTCCAGACTTGAAGTCCACCTGGCAACGCCGCTGGCAATGCGATGTGCTCTGGCAGCGGACGGGTGCTTGTGGAGTGAAGTTCCTGACAACGGTTTTGGCATCGCGGTGCCCAGGCGGGGCGACCGGGTACGCTGAGGTCTGCTTAGCGTGGACTCCGCGGCGGCATCGCTGGCATCGCGACGCGCGCCCAGAGCGAGCGTGCGCGCTCGGAGCGAGCCCTCTGGGAACCAGCGCCGACAGAGTGCCGCGAGGTGCGCCAGGAGCGAGCGGGCACGTCCGACGTGCGCCGCGTGGCGGCGACGCGGCCGCGCGATGTGCGCCCCGGAGCGGGCGGGCAGGTGCGCGAGGCGCGCGGGGGCGCGCGAGGGACACCGGCCCAGGGCGCCCACAGCGGGTGATGTTTTCTGCGCAGGCAGCCGAGGGCCCGTTGGAGCGGGCCTCGTCTCTCGGCGGTCCCGGGGCGGGGAGCCCTCAGAGGGACGGGGCCCCGAGGGCAGGAGAGGGATCCCGTGTTGATTCTGCACGGAAGGGGCCCCAGGACGCACAGATAGATACACACAAAATAAACAAGTATTCCCCACATTTTCCCATATCTTCTGGGCTTCTGTCTTCCCCCCCACTTCCATGTTTCCTATATTTTCTGGGGAATCGAGGATTCATTGTGTCTGTGTGTTTCTTTTCCTCCTGATACACTGCCTGGTCGCAGGAGCAACACCGGCAGAAACATTAATTGGCGCTCCGCGCGGATTTCTTAAGGGTCTGCGCTGGGCCCCCTCCCTGCTGCGCGGAGTACGACAGGGGCGGCGCTGGAGGCGCCGCCGGGGGGGCCCAGCGCTGATCCAAGACATCCGCGCGGGGCGCCGACAGTTTACCACCACGAGTTCCCTATTCAGCCACGCACCCAGGGACAAGGAGTGACCGTTTGGCCCCCTCGCTCCTATGTTTTATGCTGCTGTATCCCCTTCGACTGATGCCCCTCTCGGGCGGGCTGTTAAGGAGAGGCAGAGTGATTCTCCAGCCCGCGGCTCCTGATGCAGGAGAAGCAAGAAAGAAAGTGGAGCGCCGGAAGCTCGAAAAGGCGAGGACCTCGCGGAAAAACCACCAGACACATTTTTGCGTCGGCGGCTGGGCAGAGTCACTGCGCTGGCGGATGGGGCCAATGTAGGGCACACGATCGCTAATTAAGCCGCAATGCACGTGTGGAGGAGGGGGCAGGCCCGGCGCGTGTGGGAGGGAAAATTACAGGACACATCAACGATTCTTGGGCTTACGCCGCACCGCCGACCCCTTAGGGGGCTCCTGGTAGGTCTCTCGGGGGCCTCCTGGCAGCACTTTCGGGACCTTTTGAAGGCAGTTTTGGGGCCTCTTTTGGGCTTCTGGTGGGCCTCTTGGAGCCTCTTGGTGGCTTCTTGTGGCCGAGGGCTCGACATTTCCGTTCGGGTTCCCCGCCTGGGACCCCTCCTGGACCCGTCTTGGGGGCCTCTTGGGCCGTCTTGGTGCCTTTTTGGGCCGTCTTCGAGCCTTCTTGGGGGCTTCCCGGGCCGTCTTGGGGCGATCTTGGAGGCCTGCTGGGCCGTCTTGGACGTTGTGAGAGCCCAGGAGGCGAATGTGCTGAAATCATACGTTCCCCTGGAATGGGAGGATTTATGCTTCTGGGGGCCCTCTTGGGACGCCTCTTGGGGGTTGGGGCGTCTCGGGAGCCTCTTGGGCCGTTTGGGGACCATCTTGGGCGTCTTGGAATGATCCATCGGCGGGCGACTCGGGGCCCTCTTGGACGTCAGCTTCAAGCGTCCGCGGGCTCGCTCTGCACCGGCCGTGGCGAGGACGGGGGGCAGGGGGGGGCGACGCTCCGCACGGGCTGCGAGCTGCACGTGCCGCGGAGCATGGTGATCCAGCTGAACTGGCCTTGTGATGTTCCAGCCTGCTCTGGCCCTGACCACCAGAATCAAGCAGCGGCGAAGCGTCCTGGCTCGCCTATAGTCTATAGTCATACCAAACAATATTCTAAAACCCTTTTGTGATTTCCAGGAACTGTTCTTAGAACATTTCTGGCTGGGACCGTCTTGTTTTAAACCATCGGGCTTGTGCTCTAAGAACATTGTTCTGTTCTAAGAACATCTTTGGGTTCTAAGAACATTTCGTTATAGGACTATAGGAATGCCGGGACGGTCGGTCCCTGCTCACCAGAAACAATTTCGAGCGCCAGGAACCTGCCGAAGCTCGAGGGCTTCCACGCGGCGGGCCCCGGGGGACGCTCGCCCGGCGCTGTGTTCGGCCCTGGTGCTCGAAATCATTGCTGGGATGTGGTCCTTGACTTGGCATCGCTCGGACGTGTGCATTTTTTCTCGGCGAGAACCATCGAGGACCATCCTGGACAATCGAACAAAACAAAAAACACACGAAACCGAAAAAAGCACGGGAAATGGACGTCCGGGCGATGGCAGGTTCTGGGATGTGGTCCTGAAGTACGGTGGGAGCAACAACAACTGGCCCGCTATGCCCAGGGCGTTTTTTTAGCGTTTTCAGCGCGGCGTCTTGGACATCATGTTTTAGCGCTCTCGGGTCGCCACAGCAAACACCAAACACGCTAAAGCACGGTGCGCTTTTTTGAATCGCGTTTTCAAATGTTGTTAAGCGCTTTTGGCTTGAAAAACGCAACAAAACACCAAACACACGCCCAACAGACGACCCTGAACACGCTGAACAAATCGTAGCGTATCCCAAAGTAGAAGCGCAAACAAACGCCCAGGGCGTCACCCCGCCTCTCCTGCCGAGGCTACCCGAACCGGTGCCCCTTCGACGAGGTCGCCGACCGCTTCAAGTCGTTGCTTCCCGAAAGCTTCCAGCGATACGGCGCTCGCCGCGGGCACTTGCTGGGAAAAGCCAGTTCACGACGCATTGGGAGTTCGGAGTGGGAGGGGGGACGTGACTTGAAGGAGAGAAGATAGGAGCATGGAGCCAGGGCAGTGGTACAGCAGAGGGAGAAGGATCGGAGGTTGCCAGCGGTTGTCTTTGCCTAGGCTGCCTCCATCTTTTCGATCCCATGTTGGAGCCCCTGGGGCCCTCTGGGCATCGGGAGGGGTGCCCTGGAGGCCACCAGGGCCTCTCTGGGAAAGCTGGGAGGTATCTCTTGGGCCATGGCCAACTCCGGCGCGTTGCCCTGGCGACCATACAGTCGGGGCCCTGAAGAAGGAACCCTGTTCGTTGGGGAGGGGCTCCGCGTTCCTTAAGTGCTTCACAGCTTGCCTCTGGTTTTCCTTATGTCTTCGATAGCAAATCGAAGTTTAACTTATGGAAACAAAGGGGCCTCGTTCCTTATTTAGGGTTCCTTAGGTCAATGCCCCGACTGTACCCGAGATGGCGGCGGGAGCGCAGCGCAGGCGGCGCCGCGGAGAGGTCGGGGGACTGACGGGGCAGGGGGTGGGGGCATGCGCGACGGGGGCCGTCTTAGCGATCGACAGTGGGCCAACTCCCGCGCGTTGTCCTGGCGACCTTACCCGAGATGGCGGCGGGAGCGTAGCGCAGGCGGCGCCGCAGGTCTGGGGACCGACGGGGCAGGGGAGGGGGGGGGAGTGGGCATGCGCGACGGGGGCCGTCTTAGCGATCGGCAGTGGGCCCAGAGGGGCGATCCGGGATGAGCGACGGTCGTTGTGACGGGCCGTGCGGGCGGAAGTTCGAGTGAGGAGTGGGTGTCGGTGCGTGCGAGTTGGACTGCCTCGCGGTCTGCGGCTCATTCAGGCCGCCCCTTGCGAGAGTGTCTGACTTATACTGTTTCACAGCAATTTCAGAGAGTCAGTGTTCGAATTTCTTGGGGTCCCTCGGAAGTGTGCTGGAGGCCAGCATGGGCCAAATGGAAGCCCTCCTTAATGTATTTGGGGCCATCTTGGACCGTCTTGAATACTCCGAGACATGGCGACCCCCTTGTCCAGACACCCAGCAGTCGGGGGAGGAGCCTCTCAGTCGCAGAAGTGAAGAGGGTGCTGTTTCTGCAGAGCTGCCATTCTGAGTCACGAATCCCGACAGAGCCGTTGGGATTGCGCTTGCTGTCGCTTCGCTGCCATCATCTTCCGCTGTATGTCTGTGGCTTGCATGTGGACAGGACCCCCCGGCCCCGGCCGTGACCCAATGTAGGAACGAGAGGGTGACGAAGACGCGCTCTGGTCGGATCAGCTCAGTTCGCTGCCCTCGATGTGACGCCCAGAGCGTTTGTTTAGGGCTTCCAGACATGACGCTTCATTGCCAGGGATCGTGAGCAGTCGTGTCCCCTTTCTCCGCCCCTTCCATCCTGCGCCCCTCTGGTTGCCTCGCTGCCCCTCCCTGCCTGCCTCTTCTCCCCCCTTTTCCTGCTCTCCGCTTCCCTTGTCCCGGCACTTTGAGGGTTTGCCCCAAGGGGGTGACGTAAGGTTGCCTGATACCGCTGCCGTCTTGGCTCAAAAATGTGCCGCCCAATCTGCCAGCAATCGCGGCACAGCAGGTACTGAACTCGACGTGTCGGCTGGAGGAAAACAACCTTCCTCCTCCATCAGAATTCCTTTCCACCTCTTGACAGTATCGTTTGCACAGCCATGTCTTGGAACACCCATTCCAGACTTGGCAGCGGAGCTGCTGCAGCCGCGGCAGCTCTGGTCACCACCGCCCTGGCATACGATTTGCACACTGGCGGTTGCCTACAGAAGCAACAAAAACAACGCGGACGACCTCGAGTTCGACCGGTATGTGGGTACCTACCACAGCGCTACCAGTGCGCCGGCCCCCCTGCTACCTGGACTTCCGGCGCGCGAGGAGACCCGACCGACAAGATGAAGGCTTTCCTTGACCATCGCGTCAAGCGCGCGAGGAACTTCGACCGCAATTGCGATGTCATCTACTTCCATCTTTCCCTCTTACGTCGAACCCGTGAGGGCCCCTGACCGCAACTACAGTTTCCACGAGTCTCACGAGTGCCTTCCACCACGACCTCATCCACCTTCGCTCGCGATGACGCGGGCGAACCTTACATCACCGACCTACAGGATCGCCGACTCGCGAACCTTTCTTGCCTTGAGCCGCTCGTGTCGTGGTAACGCGACCGGCGCCATCGCTACTTCCAGAATGTTTCGACTCCCCCTACCTTTCTCAACAGGATACTTGTCTTGGGAATGGTAGTGCATGATTTGGTTGCGGTGGCTATTGGAATTATGATTGGACAAATGAGCAGCGAGCGAGAAAGGGGCCAGACGCGGGTTCCCACTTGGGACCCCGCTGGGTCCGCCCTATAACCGCATGTTGATGCGCTAGGCCCACGCCTTGCTGAACGTCAACTCAGGACGGATGGCCCCGTCCCAGCAGGCGGCGGCCCTGCAGCGAGAACTTCAGCGGACCCCGCAGCCGTCATCGACTTCGGCGCGAAGGTCAACGGAGTCCGCGTCGACCCAGTGACGTATATCTTTTCACTAGCTGGCCTGCAGGTTCGAGGGCTTGGAAGGCGAAAGGCAATGGCAGCGCGGCCTCGAACGCATGGACTTCCGGGCGCAGCCGAACGAGTGCATCGACAGCGTCGTAGCCAGATGGGGGATCGCCAGGATGGAAGCTGCCACTGCGGGTTTTGCTCCCGACAACTTTCAGCAAATTTGCCGCCACCATCTCGAGGGCACTCCGCGTTCCACCAGGGGAAGTAGCTCCGCTGCTCCAGCCGCTTAACGGCATGATGCCACGCAACCAGCAGCAGCGCGACGATCCCCTCGAGGCGTTGCGCCGAAGGCGGCATATCACAGAACGCGCGCCTGGCGACATAGCCCAACCCGTGAGGAGGCACTCCAGGGCCGACGCCCGCTGGAAGCACGCGTGGCTGGCGGATCTCCAGGATCACTAGAAGCAGCGCCAGTGCCTGGTTCGTGGTCGACGCCCGCTGGCCAGGGTGTTCAAAGGGAACTTGGCCGCGCGGGCCCCACCTGCGACGCCGGCTGCGCCGTTGTCCACGCCAGCGGCCGCGTCGCGGGGGCGCCCGACCGAGGGGGGGCGACGGCGGCGCCGACGCGGGCGCCATCTCGCAACCGCGACGCGAAGTGTACTCAGGGCGATCTAGCCGGCCTGCCAGAAGACCAACGCGCCAGAGAAAGATGTTATTTTTGACTGCGCCACAATAGCAGGCGGCTGCGCGGCGCGCGCAGCCGCCCGCGCGCCATGCCAGACGCTTCGCGAAGCGAGCCCTCCAGGGGAAAGGGCGCGGCCGAGGAGGGCGGAGACGTCGCGCGGGCAAGGTCGCGCAAACGCGCGCCACCGTCCTTCGGTGGAGCCGTCCTTCGGTGGACGAGGCAGAGAACGCGGCAATGGTGCGCGCGGCAGGTCGCGATCATCGCGCAAAGGGGAAGGGCCGCGGGCGGCCCCGTCGGCACGGGCGGCCAGGTGATGTAGTGCCACAATTTCGGATCGCGTCTCCGTCATGGTCGCGAATACCTTGGCGGGCAGGGGCAAGCGGCCGCTGCCTCAGACGCCTTGCTTGCGGGCGCCGTCGAGCACTTCGACCTGCCTGGGTACGAGCGCAGAGAGCAACTCTACTTCTTTCCAGCTGGACGCGCCATGCTCCATCAACCACTGGCTCGCGGGTGCACTGCCGAACCTCCGCGGCTCTGACGAGGGCGATCATCGCCGGCTCGTGGGAACGACGTGGAACGCATGTCTTTGAGGGCGAGGCGTTATTGCCGCGTCGTGCTGCTTTTGATGGCGAACGCGTGCGTGGCGCAGACTACGAGTTGGTCGACGGTGAATAAGTCGGACCCGACCCGACGGCGTCGTCGCCGCACCTTCGGGGTCTTCGTTCTATTTCCTACGTCGACGGTCGTGAGATCATCCGCCTCAGTTCTCCCGGCAACTGGCTGCCGCGACAGCGCCCGTGAGACATGGTGCGACGGTAACTATGACAGAGTAAATCGCGCATTTGGACGTGGAAATTGCATCCCGCCCAGCATGCCATTCGCACGCGTGGCGCAGCGAAGTGCTCGCCGATGCCCTTCGTGCACATGCCCCCGCGCAACTACGATGCATCGCACAAGAGGAAAGGAATGATCCGCATGGGGCATCTTCACTTCCAGAGCTCGCGCGCCCCCGATCGTGCGAAATACCGCGCCGACGGCGACGGCGACGACGTTTTTGCGGGGCACGAATGGACCGCGCGCGCGAGGGGCAGCGCGCCGATTCCCCATGCAACCCGCTTGAGGATCCAGGCGCGCCTTGCATCGGCGAGCTCGTTTGCCGGCGCGCATGTGGCCCAAGAATAATGCGACATCTTGCGTCGCTTGGCTCGGGTGCCCGGGCATGCTGGAGACCCGCGTTTTGCGGTGGCCTCGGGCCCCGAAGATGGCCCTGTGGGCGCCGCTCTGGAATATGCGAGACTCGTGGATCTCATCGCAATACATGGGGGGGCCTAGGCGAGAACCCACTTGCATCGCTATCGTCGCGACTCGAGGCGCGCTATATCGACGGCTCAGATGGGATGGGGGACGCTCGGGGCCCGCGGCCTTCATCGTCCAGCCCACGTCGAGACCTGGCGCTGGAAGCAGGCCTGGGATGGACAACATAGATGGCGCAGCTGCAGAGGAGGCCCTGAGGGAGTGCTGTGACCCAGCACGGGACGAATGCAATCCTTAATTACATCCCGACCATCCCGCTGCCCAAGCACGTTGGGCGCTGTAAGGGTGGGCGCCTTCGGATTGATACGTCTTCAACGACGTCGCGTTCCCTGCGTGCCCAGTGTGTCAGCGCCCAAATCTGAGGACGCTGGTACCTGGCACGTACCAATCGATACATCCGCGCCCTGACGGCTCCTCTGACGACGGAGAGCAGCATGCCACCTCGTCCATGGTAGACGCGGTGGAGG